TTCTTCTTCTTCTTCTTCTTTACCCTTTTCTTATTTGCATTCTTCCACCTCATACTGTCGTCTACCTCGTCTTCCATGAGGTATGTATGCTGCTGGTTACAGGCCTGCATCTATATATCTATATACGTATATGTACATATAGATAAGTGGAGCTAAGAGTCCACTGTGGACGTCTTCTTTACATTCACCTGCATGCATGCTGCATTTGCAGAGCTTATTGGGGCATCGCTCTGCTAGACAACGTTCAGAATGAATCTGGACCTTGTGTTGGGCCAGGTACAACTTTCAAAATGTTGGATCCGCTTGAATGTATCCGGGCTTTATACCGTACAAGATACATGTCCGATGTCAAGTAGAGGATCGAGGCTCTCTTCATGGACACTAAGCCACCATCCAGTCTCCCTTCTACACTCGTGACACACCACTTCATCCTTGCACAATCACCAACCTCGCAGTGGCCGAGCGAGTTTCCTTTTTTCCTTTTTCGGCCGAGGGAAGATTGTTCCGCACTATATAAAGCATTCACGCAGCATTGCTTTCAATGCTTTCAATGTTTTTTGTTTTTTTTAATAAGGGGACGGAAGTGGGGGGGGGGGAGTGTGCAAATAACAGCAACAGCAACAACAGCAGCAGAAACAGCAACAAGAACAACAACTATGGAAATAGTTGGATCACTCAATCATTATGGATACTAAACTTAAATAAAGCAGATAAATCTTTTATGGAATATATATATATATATATATATCGTCACAAATAGAACTGCCCGGTAAACCGTAGGCAGAGAGAGAGAAGAGGACAACAAACGAGGGGCCTGTCTCTTATACACATCTAGATGTGTATAAGAGACAGGTGTTAGAGATTTTTAGAATGTTTTGTTGCGGAATCCAGGGGTTCTGAGCATTCGAAGGACTTTTGTGGCTTTCCTTTTTGACTTAGTAATTGCTGCTTGAGTAGCCTAGCAATAGGTCAACAGTTATCCATGTTTTTCCTAAATCTTCCTGAACTTTTTTCATAGTTTTCAAATTGTTTTTAGTCAAAGCCAGGTAATGGCCCTG